CCCACTGACTTTTTACAGCAGACAGCCGCTCCCCTCTCTTGCAGGTACTGCGTACCCCCGCTAAATCTTTTAGGAGTATGCAGTACCCTGCCATACCCCCCTACTTTCACCCCTGCTCATTCCTGAGCGCAAGGCTGCAATGGGGCTCCAGCAATCAATAAGTGAGAGACAAGTACAACTATTGTATGGGCAACACAGGACAGTCCGTGTCCTGTGTTGCTATCACAGTTGCAGTAATAGCAACTGTGACCTAACAAAGATGTTTTTGGGCTGGGAGAAACCTGATACCTGAAGGGAACCCAGGCTTCACTGGCAGAACATGCAACTCCATGCAGAAAGACCCAGTGGGGCTCACACAGCGGCTGTGGTAGCAACTGTGAAACCATGCAGCCCAGCCAGTAGCCTGCCTCCACACATCTGACCTAGAATCAGACCCCATTCCTCATCCAGATGGTTTAAAAGTGAAGTCAGTCAATCCTTTGCAGCTCCAACAGCTTCATCTCTTCTGGGAAGAGTTCCAGCGAGGTTTAGGAGTAGGAGTGTGTACATGACAACTCCAGAAGCACATTAGTGAGATCAGAAGCTGTAGTTTGATGAGAAGACCTGGTTCATAGTCTCCACGACAACTCATCCCAAAGGTGTTCCTCTGCCTCCCATAATGAAGTAAAGAACCTCAGTGTTATTTTAGACCTGGACATTTTATTTAGCCCCATATTAACAGATCAGATTTCCTTCTCCCATCTCCAGAATATTGCTAAAATTAGAAATATTCTGTCCAGAAATGATGCTAAAAACTAGTCCATGGCATGCATGTGTTGCTTCCAGGCAGAACTACTGTAACTCTTTACTTTAAGGAAATTCACAAATTGCAGAAAGAAAATGTTCAGCTGACCCAAAATGGTGCAGCAAAAATTCTGATGAAAATTAAAAACAGAGATCATATTTTTCCCATTTCAGCTTCTCTTCGTTGGCTCCCTATTAAATCCAGAATAAAATTTAAGATTCTCCTTCTCACAAATAAAGCCCTTAATAATAACCTCCTACAGAGATCTGATTGGTCCATGTGTTCCCAACAAAGAACTTCACTTTGAGACTGCAGGTTTGCTGCTGGTTCCTACAGGTGTTTTTCATTTCTGTGGCAGCCATCACCTCTGCAGAAAGCTGGTGAGGTCTGAACACTTTGCTCCTCAGCATGGTGACCACTGACCATCCTCTGCAATTTGATGTGGTCTACCACATTGTGGCTGAGCTGCTGTCATTCCCAGTCATCCACCTTCTTCTAAACACCACAAACAGCTGTTTGTAACCACTGGACTCATTGCACAGGTGGAATTGTCTCACGGCACCACACTGGAATTCACTGAGCTACTGAGAATACTTCTTTCATTAATGTTTCTAGAAGCTGTCACCATGAATGGGAGCTGGAAATATCCACCTGTGGCCATAGTCGGGGTTGGAACCCAGAAAACAATGATGAAAATGGGCGATGCAGTACAGAAGAAAAGCAACACAATGACAGTAAAGAGCATGTATTGTATATATTGTACGTTTCTTCCTTACTTCAAATAAAGTTCATCTTTGAATTTTAAATCCCACACATTATCAAAACAGTTCAGTACAAAGGAGGGATCAAATCACTGTTACCCGACTCTCAAATCACATCCAAGGTAGCCTGGTAGAACTAGCTCCTTGTTCTACGCTTTGCTTCGTCCAGAGGGTCTGGCCTCTGGTTGCTGAGAAACGATTGCTTCCTAGAGGTATGGACTATGTTGAGGAATTAAGTTTTACCCAACTGCTAACATCTGTCTGTGACATATGTACTGCTCCAGTTTGATGCTAGGAAGTTTACCAGAAATTGCCTGCACTGTATAGAATCGTCCTCCACTGCAAAGCAAGAAGTACCGATTCAAACCAGGCGGCTGTAATTCAATATTTGGGGCTGAACGGCTCTGTTTACTTCCTCTGCTGCCATTAATAAAACTACAGGCAGACTACAATTCTAAAACAGTAGAAAATAATGTCAATGTTTACAACTTCTCCTTCTGTTCCCTGATTGACCCGGAAAAAAATCTATAGGAGAAAATCCGACTCAAAGGAAGAAACCCAGACTGTAAGCAAGACCTTTTTCAAGCAGAATTGCACAGGAAGGTGGTGAGGCCAAAGTAAAGACATTCAATTATAAGTTAGTTCCAGAGTCAGGTCCAAAATATGACATTGTTATCACAAATTATTATTATTTGGAAGTTATTGATAAAATAAGCAGAACATTTGTTTTCCAGAGCAACCATTGAGATCCATACTGTTTTTCACTGCAAATATTAATAAAAAAAATTATAAATTATTTTGATTATTTTGTGTTCAAAACAAACACCAGACTGATCTATAGCAAAAATTAAAATTTCACACAAAACAAGATTTTTATGTTATCCAGCTACAGCTGTATACACCTATTTGTACAGTAAAATATGAGTATAAT